GAAGGGTGGAATATGAATACTGTAAATAAATAAATAAATAAATAAATAAATATGCTCATAAACACAGAATACAAGCAGATATTAGTTGGGTTGGTGAAAAAGGCATCATTACATGTTTTAAGAAAGAATAGGTATGGTAAATAAAGCTAGAGCTTGCTATGGTAACCATTCTGCTTTTTTCCAATATAGATTAAAGAGTTCAGCTATGCTAATGTGCACAAGAGGTGTTACAATAATGCTATTGTCATGTTAAGCCATAATAACACTGATTTCAATGTTTAACAGAAAATGCTAGTTACTTAACGCTAGCACTATAGCCATCCACTAGTCATTTTCACAAGTGTATGATATGCAGGCTACTAGACTAATCTTTTTTCCGCATTGAGAACTTGCTTAAAAGCAATACATCTCACAGCAGGGGTCTGTACTCAAATGCATTAATGAGAGACCCATGGGGAATCCTCCAAGGCATCAGTAAGGGAACTGGCTCCCTGTCAAATTTATTGCATTTGCTGGAGGCAAATAAAATCCATATTGTAAAGGGAAAACAACACAAGACCTCCTGGAAAAGAGAAACATTCGCATGAGTAAATTGGTGAGCCAGGGTGGGGTGGGGGGTGTTTAAGGGTTCAACCCCCCCCCAAAAAAGTGTCAAGATTTTTTTTAAAAAATGGTTTAGTCATGAATTTTAACTGGTTAGCTAATTCATAATTAAACCAGGTTTTTTAACATTTTTGGGGGGGAGGGGGGGTTGAACCCATAAACCCACCTGCTCGGGCTACGGGCTACGGGCTGGCTGGTGAGGTAGTTCAAATAGTAGCCACTACTTGGGGGAGGCTCTTTCAGAGAAAAGTAGGGGTGTATCAGATCACAATGAAGGTTGGGTGGCTAAGCAGCATGGAAGAAACTCATCTCATATTGGCTTGCTTCAGCAAAATAATTGTTTTGTTTCTTACTCCCAGCAGAAAAGGGGGAGATTGCCTTAAACATTACAGCCCAAACATTGCTGTAAAGCAATACATTAACAGGGACATCTACTAGAACACATGGCTTCCTGTTTCTAGGATAAATATGTCATTTTGAAACACCCTAGAGAAGTGTTCATTTATGTCAGAATTGAATGAATGTTTGATTAAATGTTTGATGAATTTAAACCAATGGCTGCCTAAACATGGCACATGGGAGAGGACAATTTGATGGAGATTTCATCCAGATTAGATTTATGTTGTTGTTGTTGTTGTTGTTATTATTATTTGCTTAGCCCCCAGTTGCACAGTGGGTTAAACTCCTGTGCCGGCAGGACTGAAGACCGACAAGTTGCAGGTTCAAATCCGCATGAGGAGCTGTAGTGGATGAGCTCCCTCTATCAGCTACAGCTCCTCATGAGGGGACTTGAGAGAAGCCTCCCACAAGGATGGTAAAACATCAAAACATCAGGGCGCCCCCTGGGTAACGTCCTTGCAGACAGGCAATTCTCTCACTTCAGAAGCGACTTGCAGTTTCTCAAGTCGCTCCTGACACAACAAAAAAAATATTATTTGCTGTTCAAAGTTCTTGTGGTCAGGCCAGTCCTGATTGATGTTAGATTCTGGGCTGTATCACCACATTTTTTTTTTGCAAGCAGTATAATCCAGACATAGAGGGAATGCAAATGTAGGAACCTTAGACACAAGATGGGCCAAGGTCCTACACTAGAGGTTTAGATTTGATATTGCAGCTATGCTCCATCAAATGCTCTCACCCTTGGAACCCATCTTAAAAGCAAACCAGCCATTTTAGTGACTGTGTTCTGTGCAGTTGGTGAAAAAAGCACTGGATGATGATGCTACCAACACCATCCTGCCAGTGAGTGACAATGGGCCAAAAAATTGTATTCTTGCACCACTGCTTGGTGGAAGGGGGAGTCAGTATATGATCATGCACCACTCCATTTGCCAGCATTACAGGACTCAATTGCTCTGGATTTTCAATTGGCTTTCAAGGTGGGTTTCAGGTGCATTTATGGGGCATTTGTGGTAGCACTGACACAATTATAAATGTGACTAGAGGAGAGAACAGTGACATCATTGTGAGTCATGTTTACAACAATGTCACTGATTAACAAGATGCTAGAAGGAGAATGGTATCCATCCAAATCCATCCAAGAGCCTGTAGATGGAATGAATTTATTCTTTTAAAAGCCCAATACATTTTGGGCTATATACAAGTTAATTGGTCTTCTCCGGATGCTATATCAAGATAAACAGAAATACGTTGCTGGATTTGTGAAATGTCTGCCAGAGATCAAATGAATGGCTTGTATTTAATTTTATTAACTTAATAACTATCATTAAATGGTTATATTTATGAGTTGTTCCTTTATAAAATATATATTCATGTGTCGTTCCTTTATAAAAGATATTGTTAGGATCCAAAGCACTGGAATGCAGAAAGAGTGAAGCCTATCTTTTCTCTGGCTAAACTCGTCCAACTCATATCTAGGTTCACAGTTGGAGCCAAATGTGGGGCTTATAATGGACATCTATAATTCATATTTATTTTTAGTAATGCCAAGTAGCAATGAGCCCGGGGCATTTTCATAAACATAAAAACACAGGCAATTGATAAAATCAAAATTTTTTAAAAATCAATTCAAATATACCAGCCAAAGCATGTCAAAATGTTAAACTATTGAAATGTTAGAAGTTTTAAAATTGAAGTGCTACTAAAAAAGATGTCAGCTGGGAAAAGGGGAAGGTTTTTCCTCGAGGAGCTGTCCACCACAACTCTGTGTAGTAATGTGTCATGAGGTGTGCAGTGAAGCCAACTGTGCATATGTCTGCTTTCATGCGTCTTCTCAAATAACCAAATATTGAAGGGGAAAACACACTTGAGGCAACCCTCTATTGTGTAAGCAAGTTAGAATGATACTGCATCCAGGAGGATGCCTTGCAAGATCCAATCATAGCTGGTGTACTCTGCATGTCACATGAGAAATTATATGTCTTTCTTTCACCAGAAAAGAACCTCAGGTTGATGTGTTATCCATCAGTTTTATTCCTTCAGGCCAAAAGTTTTCCACAATGTGATTACAAGTAAATTCCATCTTGCACAGGCTTTTTCAAACACAAAGTGTAAATTTCCCTGTTCACAAATACCATCTATTTTTCACATCATCTTGATCTAAGATTTGGGATTAATGAGTAACTGTTTATTAATTGTGTAATGTGTTAGGTTGTTAACTGTTTTTATACTGTAGCACTGAATTTTTGCTGTTCGTATTTGTTGTGAACTGCTGTGAGTCGCCTTCGGGCTGAGAACAGCGGTATATAAGTGAGGTAGATAAATAAATAAACCCTTTTGACTAACCACCTAGAATTGTTTTTGTGTCATTTTTCCCCAGTGGGGTAAAGGGATCAAATTGCTGATTTGCTCTCCACTTTGATAAATTATTACTGTTTGATATTATGATATCAAAAAACCAAGATTATGGCAACCACACTGATTGATAACTGACAAATAGAGGGAGAAAACGTGGCGGCAGTGACAGATTTTGTATTTCTAGATGTGAAGATTACTGCAGACACAGACTGCAGCCAGGAAATCGGAAGACATTTACTTCTTAGGAGGAGAGCAATGACCAATCTCAATAAAATAGTGAAGAGTAGAGACATAATAATAACAATAAAACTTTATTTGTATACCACCCTATCTCCCCAGGGGACTGAGGGTGGTTTCCAATGTATAAGGCAAAATATTCAATTGCCTCAAAGAAAACCATACAGAAAAATTAAAATAAACATCACACTGGCAACAAAGGTCCACATAGTTAAAGCAATGGTATTCCCCATAGTCACCTATGGATGTGAGAGCTGGACCATAAGGAAGGCTGAGAGAAGGAAGATAGATGCTTTTGAACTGTGGTGCTGGAGGAAAATTCTGAGAGTGCCTTGGACCACAATAAGATCAAACCAGTCCATACTCCTGGAAATAAAGCCCGACTGCTCACTGGAGGGAAGGATATTAAAGGCAAAGATGAAGTACTTTGGCCACATAATGAGAAGACTGGAAAGCTTGGAGAAGATAATGATGCAGTGGAAGGAAAAAGGAAGAGGAGCTGACCAAGAGCAAGATGGATAGATGTTACCTTTGAAGTGACTGGCTTGACCTTGAAGGAGCTGGGGGTGGCAACAGCTGACAGGGAGCTCTGGTGTGGGCTGGTCCATGAGGTCATGAAGAGTCAGAAGTGACTGAACAAATAAATATCAAAACTATGAAAAGACCACTCAATTGACCTACTGCTTTGTGATTCGTTGGCCCCTGCATCCAGTTCAGATAATATAGCAAAGTCATCTTTTTCTTGCAAAAATTGAGAGAAAGGCAAATCAGCAAAGAAGGCTATCACCTGTGTCCTGTAACAGCTAATTTGCAAATCTTGCTTCGTGCGAACATTACAAACTTAATTTTAGCATTAGTTTCATTCTTGTTTGAAAATGTTATTGTTAAAGAGATCTCTCTTTAAAAGTATTGATTATCATGAGACATCAAAAACTGGATGCCGCCAACTTTTTTAAAATGTACTTTATTTTTTTTCTTGATTCTTCTTTTGAACATTATATTTTCAGTCTTCTATCTGGAAACATGTGTATTAGAGGTATATATATTTTAAAACTTAGTATTATCAAGAAATCGGTGTCATTTAAAGAGTATTGAATTCATCATGCTGACCATGGGAATTATCTTGCCCCTTTCAGCAAAATATGAGTAAGATGAAGAATTTGTAGTGTAGTTCTACATGTTTGCTCAGAAGTAAATTTTACTGAACTTACTCTTATGTGTCTGGATATAGGATTGTAACTTCAATTATTAATTAAAATATTATATTATCTCAATAATGCCTACTGATAATTTTATAGAGTAGGATATAACTTTTAGCAAATCAAAAAAGAACATTTTTGATCAGCATTAATGTATTTGGTAAATATCTATGTTGATACTTCCTTTCTATTTCTTTCATACAGCCGTTCCTGCATCTACCAAGGCTTTAATTATAATGGATGGAAACATCACTTCAGTAGAAGGTTTTAACCTGTCGTTCCTGCTAAATGCAACTTTACTAAGACTCAGCACTAATGGGATTACAACAATCAGAGATGATGCCTTTCTTGGACTTCGGACCCTGAAGACTTTATTTCTGGATCAGAATCAGATATCAAGCTCTTCTATCACATATAGCACATTTCATGAACTTCAGAATCTTCAAGTACTGGTGCTAAGCAACAATATTTTGAACAGCATCCATGGTATCTGGTTCAAGAACATGAAATATCTTATTAGACTCAATTTAAATGGAAATCAGCTTACTAGTATAATGGGTGATAGCTTTAAGATGGCAAACCTTGGCAAGCTCAGGATCCTGGATTTATCAAACAATTTCATTAATTCCATTGAGAAAAGAACCTTCGATGGTCTCAGCCAACTGATGGAAATAGACCTTTCTAGAAATAGGCTAGCTGTTATTCCTGACGCATTCTCCCCACTCTCTGAATTAAACCTTCTAAACTTGGACCAGAATTGGTGGAATTGCACATGCCAACTTTATGATCTAGCATCCTTTCTGAGGAAATACACAAATTCTTCGTCAAGGACACTCAGGAATGCTGATAACATGAACTGCAGAGCTTCTGAAAACCCATCAGTGATCAATCTGCTTGAACTCACAGAGGTCAACTGTAACTCTGCACTAAAACACCCTTCTGGTGTCATTAAAACCAGGAGAAGGAACTATGGGAGAGACATTACACTGGTAGCTATCTTTTCCTTTCTAGGTAATCATTCTCTTAACACATTGGCAATCTGTTCCCTTCTGATCTTATCTTTAAAAATCTTTATATTTTGGGCACGTGAACCAAAGGAATCTTGTGATCCTTTTGGACTTCGGACTTCAAGGTCCGAAGTCCAAAAGCTATAAAAACCAGCAGATCCAAGTCTACTCTAAATAGATGCCTCTACTTATTTATGAATTACCTATTATATGGAGCAACATAGTTTTAAAAATACTTCCTTTACTGTTAAAAACCCCCCAGCAAAACAACTACCTCCTCAACAGAATAAAATAACAATGTCAAACTATTGGCAGCAATTGTTTCTAAGAGGAGTGATACAGTGATTTAGTCAAGGTTTGGCTAATCTGAATATCCAATTAATTAATTAATTAATTGATTGATTGATTGAACTTCTTGCCACCACTCCCCTGGGGCTCGGAGCGGCTTACAAGAACAGGCTAAAATCGAACACAATTTAAAAACAATTTAAAACAATTAGAAAACAATCAGAGATCAAAGGGTTGTCTGATCTCTTACATCAATGGTCCTCCAGGTGGTTTGGACTTCAACTCCCAGAAACCCCAGGTTCTTACTAGCTTTTTTTTTTTGTTGTGTCAGGAGCAACCACTCCTGTTGTGAGAGAATTGGCCGTCTGCAAGGACGTTGCCCAGGGGACGCCTGGATGATTTTTGATGTTTTATCATTCTTGTGGGAGCAAACCAGGTGATAGGGAGACAAAACCTCCATTCTATAATGCTAATGTAATCTCGTCCCAAGTCATGGAAATGTAGGGCTGTGGTTTAATTCATCCACCTGTAATACAGTCTCCCTCTCTTTCTATTGTATCCCATATGACCAAGCTTTACTGTATTTTAGATATGATATATCCAAAGTACAATAGCCTGAGTTTGGTCATTTGGGCTTCTAGGGGAAATTCAGATTTGATTTTCTCCAGGACCCATGTATTCATCAATTTTGCAATCCATGGTATTTCCAGAACTTTGCTCCAGTACTACAAGGTGGTGAGCATACAAAACAAATGAATATATGTTGGCATCTGAGGCAGAGAATCTCTCCCACACCTCTTCCTAACATTGGCAGTAAAAATACAGAAATAAACATGAAAGAACAAACAACGCACAACCTCTTAATAATACAGAGATTTGTTGCATGAAGTGGTTACCTCATTTTGTCTGATGATAAAGCCAACATTGCTTGCCTCCCTTGATGTTTCTTACCACTTCATCACACTAGAGAAAAAATCTACAGGTACTTAAAATCTACAAACCCCAGAATTCTGCAGGAGGCAGAAACCGGATTTTAAGTGGAATTTTTCTCTAGTGTGATGATGTTAGTGGCATGTTTGGTAATTTGGAGATGAAAGACACCCAAATAACAACAGAAAAAGCTCTCATGCATGTAAGCCACACAGTAACAGACTGAGCACAATTTGGGGCATTTCCACCATCATCACTTTGGTAGATAGGCTTCTTTCCCCCATGCTTCCTTCACAAGTTGAGCTGAGCTTATTTGCAGACTGCAGACAAGTTACTTTTGTTACATAACTTCCTCTGGCAAGAAAGTGCTGGTATTTCCATTTTAAACTTACACGTGTTTAAGGTGCAGGGGAAACAGAACACTGTCCATGTATCTTATGTTATTTTTGAGAGCTAAATTTTACTGCATCTCTGCTTTCTACTGGGGAAGACAAATGACCTCTAGCAGGTCCCACAAACCTTATAAAATAAAAGAGGGGAGGGGAGGGATTGTTAGATTTATAACCACATTTATCAGATTTAGGAATAAAAAGACAGTTCAGAACCTAAGGTGAAATGGATGAGGGAGTAGACAGTAATATATCCATCCCTGTTTTATGGCAACAGCTTCTTCCTTAGAAGCAGCAGCAGAGTTTCTCTTTTAAAAATCTTCAAGTGTATTAGAGAGGAAGCAGAGTAGAAGGAATTGTTTTTTCTGTCCAATGAGCTACAACTTAACACATGATGAGAGCCAGCATGGTGGAGTGGTTTCTGGATTGGACTATGACTCTGGAAGCCAAGGCTCATGTCCCTCCTCAGCGATGGAAACTCGCAGGGTGACCTTGGGCAAGTCACCCTCTCATAGGTTGAGCACTGTTTCCAACCTATGGTACATGGACCATCAGTGGTCTGCAAGAATGAAAATATGGTCCGCCTTTTCTTCTCATCCTTCTTCCTTACTCGGTTACAAGATTTTATTCCCACATTGAAATCTGTTCTCATTTAAATGAATTTCCTATTTTCAGTTGTATGCCTTTTCAGTTCTTCACATTTTAAAACATATACGCCTTTTCATATACTCTTTGTTGATATTTTTATGTACCTTAAAGTCAATACCAAGCTATCATGACCCTATACCACAGTTTTCTTAACAAAATCGATTCAGAGGATATTTGCCAGTGCCTTTGTTAGGGTGACAGTGTAATTTACCTAAAGCCAGCAGTATTTTTTCATTACTGAGTGGGGATTTGAACCCTTGTTTCCTTGAGTCCAAAAGGAATCAAACCACTATATCAGTTTGACTCTAGAAAATTCTAATGGGGCAATGAGACTTGGAGGAGTGAAAACATTACTTTTCTCGAAACTGTTGAATCCAGAAAAATTATTTTCCATCCCAACATAGAGATATTTTCTTGTGTCACAATTTTCAATTTGCAGAACTGATCAGATAATCTTTTCATGCTTATTTGAGTAGACCCCTCATGCAGTGTTACTACATGTGTTGGCATAATGTATCATCTCGCTATTATATTAGCACAGTTCCCACCCTGCTCCCAAAATAATATTTCTTTGGAAGGGTGCATTAATTGTTTCTTTGATATAGTTCTAATTTCTGTTCAACTGATAATGAAGAACTCCTTGTCCTTCAACAGAAATGTGTAAAAATATATATCTTGGAGTCGAAAGTCTTGCCTGAAGCTATACCATTGCCTGAAGCTATACCTCTTCAGGCTGTGATCTCATTTCATATCAGAACCTAAGAAATGTTAGGCACAAGTTGTAAGTAGAAGAGAGACTGCCAAGATGAAAACAAGACTGTGAGGCTGCGGGATGAATTGATAAGTGAGATTTCTCCTCTGGAGCCAAAAAGAAGCAGTTACTCGGCTAGCCTTTTATTTGGAATTCCAAAGCAGCTAGAGTTGCAACCAGGGCAAATTTCTGCAGATGGTTAAAATGCCCTCATTTTACTGCTTGAATTACTTACTTCACAGTCTCCCCAGTGTGCCATTGAAATACTTATATTCACTCAAAGTAAATGGCATGTTTCAAAAGATTCACATCAAGCTAAATGGTGATGAACATATATGGAACATCATGAATTGCTAACAATTACAAAGTTTTTTTCTTTTTCTATATGGATATCAGCTTCTATAGTCCCAAGTAATCTGGGTCCCACTTCAGTCCATGATTTTCATTTTCAGCACACTAGAGGCTCTTGAAGCAGACTTCATCTCTCAATACAAACCTGCAAAACTTGATGGGCATAATACTACAAGGGCAGCACAAAGGTGTTTTAAGCTCAAATACATTTTTGGGTCTCCTGCTCAGGTGCATTAGGAAACCAAAGTTGTTTAACTCTCCTACACACACACACACATAAGTTCATGAAACTGGTGAAGTCGTAGCCCCTTTGGAAGTTTCTCCAAGACATTTGAGGCTAGCCAATTTCATGATACTTTCTTCAAAATATGAAATAAAAATGTTCTAAAAGCCAAGTCAATTTCAAGCTGCTCTCAGCCCTCTAAGCACAGGGTATTATTTCCATGTGGCCATAAGTCCTCCCCCGATCCCAACATTGGAGGCACTGTGCCAGTGCTTCTAGAACAGTGGTTCCCAACCTTTTTTAAAACCAGGGACCACTTTGACCAGGGACCTCCTTGACCAGGGGCCACTCTCCAACATGAGTACCAACTTTAGATTTGGTTTAGGGTGCTGATTCAGAAAACTGCATTGGATAGACCACATCAGCTCTAGTTTCTGATACAGAATATATGCCATAGTCAGCGACAGGGAAGGAGTGGCAGGTGGTTCAAAAGGAGAGGAAATAAAATAAAGAAAGAAAAAAATAAATCAAGAGGAAAGAGGCTTGCGGACCAGATTTTCGTCCTCGCAGCCCACTGTTGGTCCATGGCCCACAGATTATAGAACCATTTTTCTAGAAGTATCTTCAGAGTTAAGTGTTCAAACAATAGACAGAAGTGAAGTACAGCACTAAGAGGCGGCATGGTGGACTGGGTTGGTAAACAGCAATTGAAAGATGGAGAAGCATAGATGCAGAAGGCTAGCACATGAGCACAAACCTGCACAAGACGGCATACATTTCAGTGAACTCACACCATCCTTTTCCCAAGTAATTAGATTACAGTGTAAAGTATAGTAGTAATTTTAACCCAGACTGGCAGTCTCTGAGTAACAACTAACTCTCTTCCATCTACCCACTATGTATTTTTTTAAATGGCATTGCTAGAAACACAGTGGATGACTTTACACCTCTATAGATTGGCTCAAATAATCATGCTGATCCTCTTCAGATCTGGACAGGATTATCTGATGTGTTTTGGATCCCATAAAAATGAATCAATGAACCAATGGGTTTGTGATTTGTGAAGGGTCTGCACAGTCAAAGTAACTAACATAGTATATTTTGATCTTTACAAATATTTCTAGTACTGTATTTCAGACACACTAATGAGAAAAGTTGGTTTTTTATTTTACTAATAATAATTGTATTTGCGGCCCCTAGTGGCACAGTGGGTTAAACCACTGAGCTGCTGAACTTGCTGACTGAAAGATCGGTGGTACGAATCCGGGGAGCAGGTTGAGCTCCTGCTGTTAACCCCAGCTTCTGCCAACCTAACAGTTCAAAAACATGATCAATAGGTACTGCTTCTGCGGGAAGGTAACAGTGCTCCCTGCAGTCATGCTGGCCGCATGACCTTGGAGGTGTCTACAGACAATGCCAGCTCTTTGATTTAGAAATGGAAATGAGCACCACCCCCCAGAGTCGGATATGACTTGACTTAATGTCAAACCTTTACCTTTACTTAATAATTGTATTGTTTCATCTTCCACAATCTATATGAATCTCCCTGTGCCCTTAAGGACCTGAAGAATACCTTATAATTTTAATTCTTCTTTAAAAAAATTACCATTATTTTGTAATTCGGAAAGTGCTTTTCTTTTTGGGAAAGAGGCTGTATCCTGTCAGGTATTAGGATTTCTTTAGTATAGCAATGTGTCTATAGCAAAGAAATCAATTCAGACTATCTTCTCTCTCTTTAAAGAGATCTCAGATGTATCCCCAATCATTACAAATTCATTTGCTTCTTCAGTAATTGCTGTGGAAGACATTCTACACAGGCTGACAGAATTATATAGATAAAAAATGTGTTGGGATTTAATTGAATGTGAATACTACCCCTCTGCTGTATTAAATAATTTCATCTATCAAGACTTTTCCCACAACGGGAGTATTTTGTTTTATTATATGTTGATCTGTATGTTTATGATTTCGATCTAATTTATCTGATTTTATCTTTGACAAACCTTTTATTTGTCACAGGAGGAGTTGGTCTCACATGCCTAGTTTTAGCCTTCTGTAACAGGAAGCTTTGGCATGGCAAAGCAAATGAACATTCGTCAGAAAACTGCTGTTGCAGAACCCTAGATGAATCCCAATGTGGTCATGAGCCAAGAAATTACCTCACTAAGGGATGCTATAACTGCCACTTAACTCAGGAAAAAGACATAAAGGTCATGTCCATGTTGGGATCTGGCAGGGAAATGCCACTTTTACAGGAAAATGGCCATCAAGAAACAGTAAAGGCAGTATCTAAGTGCACAGACCTAAAAATGCCATTCAGAAGCACCGAGAAGCAGAATGAACAGATGAAAAATGACCATTTTGTGTGCCTTAACTGTAGACTGCTACAATCTTATCCTCAAGAATCCTCTGAGAATATTGCTGAAACTAATGAAATGATTGTACCAGACCGAAAGCATGTCCAAATAAGAAATGTTAGAAGCCCAGAAAACACTGGGCATTGGGAAGAAGACTCACTTATTACAAGTATAGAATACTATTCAAAAGTTAACCAAGGTAAGTTCTCCTCCTACAAGGAACAATGGAATATTCCTTTATTTTCAATGTTCTTTCTCCATTTCTTGTTTTTTTCTAAGAGTTTATCATAGAAGAAAAGAAAGATCATTATTCTAATAACAGAGTAAGGAAACTCATACAGGAAGGGACACAGATGTAACCAATTTGAATGTGGTGGTCCCTGTGAAGTGGGGAGTCCTGATATGAGAAGGAAGCATATTATAAACTTATTAAATATGTTTCTTCTGGTATAAAATATTCTACAGCAGTGTACAATAGATACATGTCATATAAAAGGCAGTACTTTTTTTCTGTGTCAGGAGCGTGTGAAATAATAGGCCGCCTGCAAGGATGTTGCCCAGGGGATGCCTGGATGTTTTACCATCCTATATGATGCTTTTCTCATGTCCCTCCATGAGAAGCTGGAGCTGACATATAGGAGCTCACCCCATTCCCCAGTTTCAAACCTGGTTAGCAGTTCTGCTGGTGCAAAGGTTTAACCAATGTGCCACCGGGTTTAACCAATGTGCCCATAAAAAGCAGCTGAGAGTAAGAACACAAACATTTTCTAAAGTTGAGGTGTTGTGTGGTTTCCGGTCTGTATGGCTGTGTTTTAGCAGCATTTCCTCCTGACGTTTCACCATCATCTGTAGATGGCATCTTCAGAGGAGAGCCAACCACAGATGCATATGAAACGTTATGAGAAAATGCTGCTAGAACACGCCATATAGACTGGAAACCACACAACACCCCGGTGATTCTGGCTGTGAAGCCGTCAACAATACATTTCCTAAGGTTGTGGGTTCATGTTAGTATCCAAACAGAATATTAAGTTGTAAGACTTGATGCCTGAAACAAATTCTGTGGCCGATAGAAATGTCATTGAACTGTACTGAAAAGAGATGGGATGCAATGAGGTGTTTCAGGCACAGTCTGTTAAAATAGAATTGTGTAAAATTTAGTTAAGAATGCAAGAGACTTCAAAAAGGAAAGTATTCTGTTTCCTGAAGATGTAATTAGAAGAGACCCAAAAACTATGGAAAATGGAAAGCCATACAAGAGTGGATGATGAGAGATGGAATAGAAGTCAAAAGAGAATGAGCCACGATTTGAGCCAAATTCTACCATTTTTAGTACATATTTAGAAGAGGTGCTCCCTAAAGTGCATAATTTTTGAATATGAATTCTGTGTTTACCTTTAACAATCTTTGTTTTGCCATTGGCTCTGGGGGAAAAAATCACAGGCTTAATTTGCATGTCTGACTGCTGACAAATATATCTTTCAGATAATCCAACTGGGAGAGGAACCACTAGGTTTAACTCTTAACATTTAGTTTCACTCTTTTATAATATCAAGTTTGCCATTTTATTTGAAGAGGCCAATTTATTTGGAGTTGTGAAACAGAAAGCCCAGTTGTGGCATATCAAGAGCAGAACTGAAAGTTGAAAAGTAGGAGGATAAACAGCAAAAAAGGAAATTGGAGAATAGTCATATGGACAGTATGTTGCCTGAATGAGTAGAGGTGGACTAGGTTGGTGGGACATTGGAGTACCTATGCATCATCTATGGAATGTTATTATTTTAGCATAATGCCCAAGAGTCAAGAAAGGACCAACCCAACTAGTACCCAGCAGTAATAATATTAATAGAGTTATTTTGTGTAGCTACAAATGTATCATATACAATAGATCTGATGAAAAACAAACATCTCTTAGCTTTAGACTATCTTGATTTCATATCAAATGTGGTCACTATTAATGATACCACTTTTTAAAAATATAGGTAGTTTGCTTCATGCTTTATGTTTTCCTATAAGTAGAAGAGACTCTTTGGAGGTAGGGGGGCACTATTGTCGCTCTTCCAAATTCCCATTTAGTAAAAGAACTGTGTTTACATGCCCTAAATTTTATCACTTGTTGTTTAGCAGGAATCAGAAGTGACACGTTTTGTAGAAGATGTTTAAGGCCTCCATACATTTTGGTGAGAGAGAGTATTGGAAAACATTTTGGAAATGAACCATGTCAGGATCTGTTCAAAAGTGGAGACAATGGCCACTTAAATTCTCTTTGCCAAAGGGGCCTTTTAGCAGCCTTGCCTTCAGCAACCAACTCACCAGTAGAGTCAAAGGAACGCAGCATGCAAGCCGAATTAGAAGACCATTGTTCCCGACAGAATGATCAATGTGGATTGTTAGCAAGGAACAAAAGTATTTCTCCACAGCTAGACAACTTCCTTATCTGTAAATACACAGACTGTGATAAATTCCAAGACTATCTAACAGCAGGAAAAGAGAACCAGGGCAAAAATTTAAAATCGGAGAAGGAACAGAGTGAAGTTAAGAGAAGAAGAGCTGTAGCTTGCTTTACAAATGATGAAGAGGAACCATTATCACAAGCAATGAAGAGAATGTATCAGCCTAAGTCTGTTAGCTTTTATGTACCTGACCAAGTAACAGTAAAGAGAGAGGATGTGAAAACTAGAGGTTTAAATGAAAAGAGATCCCTTGAGGACAATGCACAGCACAAGAGCATCCAAGAAAGCCCATCCACTACATTGGCAAGGAGATTGTTGAACAATTCAGAAGCAAAGGATAAAAAAAGGCAATCATTTCCCACCTCGCCGGTCCCCGAGGAAAAAGAAGCTGAACTCACTTCGAAGCAAAAAAGAAAAAGTAAAGGACAGGATTCTTTAACTGTGAAGTTAAATTTACATCCTTTTAGAAAAGCAAAGGTTTACCCTGAAGAACCTATCAAAGAAAACACAGATGAATGTCCACACTGTCAACATCTACAATTGCCACATATTTCAAAGAAGGAAGAAACAAGAAAGAAAAAAAGAAAATCAGACCACTCTGTGGCTGCCTTAGAAATATCAGGAAACAGCAAGCCGATTATTTATTCTGCAGTAGCTGCTGGGGAAATGGCTGGAAAAACAGACAAGAATGCAGTTGCATCCATCTCTGATCCTCATTCAAAGAATATTTCTGCCATGAAAATTACTGAAGGCACCTCGTCATCCAAGCATTCACAAACTCTAAGTTGCGGCAGTAGGTCACCTACATTCTCACCAAATGGAACTTCAGGGATGACTGTTTCCATTACTACTCTTTCATCCAACCATTCACCAAGTATTTCACAGAATGCAGCAAATAATATTCCCACTTCAGTGAATTCTAAAAAGGAAGATGCTATAGAAACTGAAGTCATGCCCTTTCATCAGAATGAAGCAAGGGAAAAAGGCTATAGTTTTTCTCCATCTCTTTCTAGCCTAGCAGAAAACGGTGGCTTCCAAAATTCCAGCAATGAAGATAATTTGAAACCTCAACAAATTGTTGACAATGTTCTCCAAAGCATAGACATAGAACAATTAAACCAGGAACAATTAAAAAGACAAGATGAAAGCCTGACTGTGAAAGCTGAAATGGAAGGACACAAAAGAATGGAAGAGCCTGAACCTCTAAAAGGAGATTTGGTTAACAGGGCATCTCATATCCCTGAAGAAAAAACGCCATCAAATGGACATCGGATTTCTAGGGAAGAGGATAAAAGTAGACTAAAACCCCCAGTTCACATGAGTAGTGCTATTTCTAATTTGGAAGCAAATGAGTTTCTAACCAACAGAGAAGAAATTCAAACACTACATAGACCTAAAGACATGGAAGAATGTGGAACAAAGGAGCTGAAAACAGCTTTCAAATCAGAAAATGTTGAATTGACCAAAATGTTTGTTCCCAATACATCAGTGGACCCTCTAGGTCTGGAAAAAGAAGAACCTTTAACTGGAAACGAGTTGGAAAATAACAAATCTAACACATTGCTTAACAACACTGTCAAAGTGACCATTATCTCCAACAAATCAAGTGGCCCCAGTTCTCCTGAAACTAGAAACACCCAAATGGACAATAATGTCAATATTGAAATGAAAAATAATGTGTGCATGGTTAACAAGAGGGATTTGCAAGAAGTTCCAGACAATCAACTTGATGAAGGTATCAGTGAATATAAAGAAGGTAAAGTGCCACCAGCAACATGTCAGGAAGATTCTTTGTTACCCCAGTTTAAAGATGTCAGTTATGAGGAACAAACTGAGACATCTCTACTCACTTGCAATACAAATAAAGCTGAAGTCTCTATTCCCCAGCCTACACTGTCTACCACATATACTGATTATGATAAAGAATCACCTTTACAGATGGAACAAAGGAAAGCAAATATTTCAAATAATACTCATCTCTCTTTAGTTCTCTTCAAAGACAAAAAGCCCTTTTCAATATGAAAATCTAGGCTTTCTAACCAGAATAGAAAATTTCAAGACGGGAGAGCAATGTTTAATGGTGAATGTTAAAACAGAATTCAGAAGAAAGAGGACGTGCGATGAATACTTAGTAGAACTGTGGATATATATTACTGTTAAGAAGATATGTAAAATGTTTTCAAACCACATGTACTCTTTTAAATAGACTGCATGTAGGGCTGATATAGATAAATATTAACCATTGATCAGATAGATCAGGACAGTCAAAACTGTAACAGACAAAATGATGGTGCATGCAGAAATGGTGCAAGTTGCCGAGGTAAATATTATTATGGAAAATTGTTTGTCCCCTCCTGCAAAACTGGAGGGTTACATTCAGATTAGAGGAAAATGTTGCTCACCACTATACCCCTAAATATGAATTTGCAAGACATTTGAATATCATAAGACTGGGGATACTGGGTTGTTGTGAATTTTCAGCACTGGGTATATTTCTTCATCAAAAGCCACGACCAATGTGACTAAGAAATTCTGGGAACTATATTTCAGTAACAAAGTATCTCCACAACTTTTCTAAGCTCTGATGCTTCTAGGGCTTGGAGAGTCATTGTTCAGAGACTTAATTTTTTCTTTATTACACTTTGTGATTAAAAAATGACACAATCTATTAAAAAAATTGCAGGCTTCAGGCTATTTTAGGACCTTCTCTAAACTTACATGTATGTGATCATGTGATTGCATAATAAAAACCTTATCTGAAAGTACCTTCTCCTAATTATTGCCACCCTTTAAAAAAGAGAAAATAACATATTATTGCAGGGATAGCTTACCTAGTGTGAACAGGGAAACATCCATAGTCTATTACAAAATGAATAATTCCTAAGAATCACCTTAGAGAAATTGTTTAGAATACCTTTACATGTGAGTCTGTGGTCACGAGCATGAAACATAAATTAAAATATTGAGTTTGACCAAAGAGTTCTTTAAGTCTGATCTTTCTAGGATCAGAAAAAAAGGATGGAATTTTGTATGTTGGTCTAGAGATGGGAGAGGAGGAACAAAGGTATTATTGTTCAAATACGTATGTATGTATGTATGTATGTATGTATGTATGTATGTACTGGTTACTATGACTAAAGAGATATCTTCACCATTAACAAAATGATGCTCTGTGGAGAATGAAAAGACTACCCAACTTGTTTACCACAATGGGCTGTTGAACAGTGGAAAGCTGCCTTCATACTTGGCCTATGCCTGAGTAACCAGCTTTGTTCAGCTATGAGAACTGCAGAAGGAAGCATCATTGCTATGGGAACCTACTTTTTGTTTCCTTCACACATTTTTCTTCCTTAGGCTCTTGAGAATTAAGAAAAAGACAAGCAAATAAAAACATTTTTTTTAAAAAAAATACGTGTGGGAGATTGTTTTGCTTTGCTTTTTGTGATAATGGCGGTGATGGAAGTTCAACACAACTTGAGAACATTCTTCCCTACTATGTGCAAGCTAGGCAGGGTAAATATAAATAAGAATGGTCCAGTAGTTATTTCCATACTTTCATTAACATTATATATTTTCTATTGTTATGACAGTGTTTGTTTGATACTGTTCCATTGATACTGGGGAGTCTCGAAAAGGGGGCTTAGACAAAGAAATATAGTTCATTTTATGGGGGGGGGGGAGTTGAAGGAGAAAAACAATTTTCCCCATTTTCACTGGTTATTCCCTACCTTCTTTCCCATGTCATAGACAACAGTTGTTTCGAAGACATGGGGGGGGGGGGACAGGAAAACAGGGGGAAATGGTTTAACTCCTTCAACCCCCTTTCCCCCCCCTTTTCTCTAGCACCGTTTTGCGATCTTCACCCCAATAATGGAATAATACAGTTTGTTTGCCACCAAAAGTGTCAAATGGAGAAAGTTGAAAAATGTTATTTGACTTTACTAAAAATGGCTTTTACACCAAACATGTTTTAAGAGTTCTAATTACTTTTGTTTCAGAAGATTTCCATTCCAGTATCTCCCACACATCCCATCCAAATTAAATTAGCTTAAATAGCTAGGTTATCATTTCTGTAGCACTTAAAAAAACCCAGAACTATAGCACTTTTAAAAACCATCCTTTTGTTATTTTTAACTCCAGATGTGTTTTTTAAGTAAATGTCTCATTACGGTATCAGCAATCTAAGTGAAATAGTACATTATCAGCTGTTTTTAAAAATCTTCCTTTTTCAAGTGGAGAAAAACCAAAAAGGGAAAGGCACAATGGCATTTGTAAATTGCTCAGAAATAATCGTAATAGAAAGAACCTTGCCAACATTTTAGCCATTCTGGGTTATGTTGTTAGTATTGGCTAAATCGGTTTGATGCATGATGGGACACTCAACAGCTGAGATATCATATTGACAGTGCTAGACCTCCTCCTGTGCTTTCTACAAAACAGATATCTATGCTTTTTACAGATGAATGTTTTTTCATTGAATATGGGGACTGCTGGCAGAAAAACATTCCCTCTTTAAATTCTGAGTATCAGACAGCTTGTTAAAGACACAGGGGAATGGCTAGGAGAAAAAAGGGTATCAGTGCCTTGGTGTTGCAAGATGTTTACCACTGTTTCCACTACACAATGGCATTATTGTGAATCCACTTTAAGTGTCATACTTCCATCCTAATGAATCTTGGAATATGAACTTTACAGAAAGGTTAAAGAGCA